AATTGAAAATCTGAAATACGTGACATTCCCCTCCACTTAAGTTCTAGGTTGTCCTCAAGCTTTGAAACTAGGAAATTGCTTAGCCATGAAAGACCCCAAGATGCTTCCTCAAGCTCGAGTCCCCTCCATTTTACCAGCCATTGTATTACAGGTTGTTGTTTCCTCTTGATACTCCTTCTTTGCAGCACCACTTCAGGTTCCAGAGAATTTTCATTTTCCAAGTCGTCACTGGGGGAGATGTGATAGTGATTGGCTTACCTCCGTGATGTTTCTTAAGCTGGGAGATGTGGAATACGGGATGAATTCTTGAGTGATCAGACATTCTGAGTTTATATGCTATGCTCCCGACTTTCTCCAGCACTTGATACGGTCCGTAGTACCATGATGATAACTTCAGGGGGTTGCTGTTGGCTAGAGATTTCTGCCTATAAGGCTGCAGCTTGAGGTATACCCAGTCTCCGATGTTCAAGACATGATCTGATCTCTTCTTCTCGGGGATATGTTTCATTCTGTCACGGGCTTTCCTGAGTTGCTCCTATAAAATCTTGGATATAGTTACTCTCTGTTGAAGCATATCTTCTGCGGCTGGAATTACAACGTCATTGTAAGGTCCCAATGGAAGGTGGATCAGTTTCTGCCCATACAAAGCTTCGTGAGGAATCATATTGATGCTGCTATGGTGGGTGGTGTTGTACCACCATTCTGCCAGATGAAGCCAACTGCACCAACTCGAGGGCTTAATCCCAGCAAAGCAACATAAGTATGTCTCTAAATATTGGTTCACCCGTTCCATCTGGCCATTGCTCTGTGGGTGATAAGCGGTGCTCATACTTAATTGAACCTGTAAGAGCTTAAACATCTCACGCCAAAACAGACTAGTAAATACCTTGTGACGGTCACTCACTATAGACTCAGGTAGTCCATGAAGTCTATAGATTTCCTGCTAGTTTCGTTTTTAAAGGAGGAGATGCGAGGAATAGTTCATTAGATCCATTCCACTTCGAACAAGTCTTAAGCAAACTGGCATCTACTATCCCTAGCTCTGTAGCCGAAATAGAAAGATGAAAAGGGTCTGTGATTGAGACTAAGGAACGGAAAAAAAATTTCAGCTATGTGAGCAGCTGAGAAAGGGTGGGAGAGAGCTATAAAGTGACTGTATTTGGTCAAGCGATCAACAATTACCATCACTGTTTCATTTCCATGTTGAGATTTGGGCATTCTTTCAATAAAATCCATCGAAATATGTTTCCACACTTGCTGCGGTATACTCAATGGCTGGAGGAGTCCCGGATACAGCACATTTTCGCCCTTGTTTTGTTGGCATACCTCACAGCTGCGAGCAGACTCTTCAATCTCTTGCTTCATGGCTAGCCAGTAGAAGGTAGCTTGTATTCTTTTATAGGTGGTAGTTTGACCCGAATGTCCTCCAATAGAAGAAGAATGTAGAGCTTCCATGATCTTCTGCTTGATGTTGCTAGAGTTGCCGACAAAAATCTTGTCTCCTTTCTTGAGTAATCCCAAAGTAAGTTGATACTCGGCTGTTTCTCCTTGCTCAACAGCAACCTTGGCAATTAGTTCTTGAGCTGCAACATCTCCTCCGTAGCTAGATTCCACCTCTAACATCCACTTTGATTGTATGGTTGATATGGCCTTGCTTCCTAGAGCTTCTTGGCCTGAATGGTAGAGGCGAGACAGTGCATCCGCAGCGCGGTTTTCACTTCCCTTTTTATAGCGAATCTCATAATCCAGCCCCAATAATTTCGTCACCCATTTATGTTGCATGTTAGTGGTCAATTTCTGCTCCAAGAGGTGTTTCAAACCCTGATGGTCCGTTCTAAGGATGAAATGGTGCCCGATCACATAATGTCTCCATTTGGTAATCGTCATGACCACCGCAAGCAACTCTTTCTCATAAACCGACAATCCTTTATTCTTCTCGCATAAAGCTTTGCTTAAAAAAGCAATGGGATGATTTCCTTGCATCAACGCAGCCCCCATCCCCACTTCGCAAGCGTCTGTTTCAATCACGAAGGGTTTGGTGAAATCCGGCATTCTTAATACAGGTGCACTAGTGATGGCAGTTTTCAACGTTGCAAAAGCCTTATTAGCTTCTTTTCCCCATGCAAAACCATCTTTTTTGAGCAACTTGGTCAGTGGCTTTCCAATGATGCCATAGTCCCGAATGAATCTTCGGTAGTACCCTGTGAGACCGATGAAACCCCTGAGTTCCTTAACATTTGAAGGGGTAGGCCACCCTTCAATACAAGCTACTTTCTCCTTATCCATGCTCACTCCTTTTGCTGATATGATATGCCCTAGATAGGAAACACTTTCCTTTGCAAACAGACACTTAGTCATTTTTGCATATAGCTGGTTGGCTTGTAAGATAATCAACACTTCTCTAAGATGTACCAAATGATTCTCCCAGGTTGCACTATATACTAGAATATCGTCGAAAAACACTAACACATACCTTCTGATCAGATCCTTGAAAATGCGATTCATCAAGGATTGGAAGGTTGCCAGAGCATTTGTGAGTCCAAATGGCATGACTAGAAACTCGTAATGCCCATGGTGAGTCTGAAACGCTGTCTTCAAGATGTCTTCCTTTCGCATTCGAATATGAAAATACCCTGATCTTAGGTCTAGCTTAGAGTAGTATTGGGATCCCCCCAACTCATCAAGAAGCTCTTCTATCACCGGAATTGGATATCTATCTTTGATGGTAAGTTCATTGAGCCTCCGATAGTCAACACAAAACCTCCAATCTCCGTCTTTTTTCTTGACCAATAACACCGGTGATGAGTAAGGACTAGAGCTGTATTGGATTACATTGTTTTTATAGCAACTTGTTTTTCGATCTCATCCTTATGAGCATGCGGGTATCGATATGGCTTCATCTTGAATGGTTGCGCTCCAATTTTCAGCTCTATAAAGTGCTCAATTTCCCTCTCTGGTGGTAAAGCATGGGGTATTTTAAACACTTCTTCAAAATTCTAGCAGTTGCCTCAATTCCTCTGGCAGTTCTTGTGAACTCCCCATCTCTAACAGAGGGGTTTCCTCTTCAATTGCTACTGCTCCACATAAAATTCCGTTTTTATTTTGCCTCCAAATACCCCCTTAAGTCTTCCTCTCTTCCCATGTTTAAAGTGGGATATTCACCCTTTGGCTCCTCTAGTCAGGTGAATCGTGCTTCTTTGGTAGTCGAAAGCCTCCGGACTGAATCCCAACATCCAATCAACACCGAGTATAACATCCAATTCTCCCAAATTCATTAACTTGAAATCAAAGGAAAAGCTGAATTGATGAATATCCCAAGCGACCCAAGGACAAGTGAGTGATCCTTGGGTTCTAGAACCATCTGTCATAATGATTGCAAATGGGGGACACCGTTGATAATGTAGCGATATTGATCTCACTAAGTTACAATCCACAAAACTGTCGATGCTTCCCGTGTCAACCTATATATTAATCCATCTCCCATTCAATTTGCCTCTAATGATTATAGACTTGCTGTATTTACCGCTATTTAAAGCATTCAAGTAAATTCTTTTGACCCCTTCTGTAATCACTTCTTCCTCTACCAACTCATAAACTTCCAGATCTGTATTATCCATTTTCTCTTCCTCAATTAAAATAAAATAGGCCTTTGCACATTGATGGCCGGGATTATATTTATCACCACATTTAAAATAAAGGTTGTGATTTCTGCGGTATTGCACCTCCTGTGGTGTTATCTTTTTAAACTGATTTGAAGATCCCTTCTTATCTCCATTCTTCCAGCCTAATGAAGGTACAAGGTTCTTACCAACGTTGACAGTAGTTTCAGGTGGACGACTGGGCGGAATTCTGCTTCGCTTTGCTTGTAACTCCACATCCTGCTCCTGTAAAATTGCTGCATCCATAAGAGATGAGAGATCAGGAGGCTTCTTTTGGCGGAGGGCTGGTTTCAGATCTTCCTTTAATCCGCTCATGAAACTGGACATATTGTAAGATTCAGGGAAAACATGGTTTAACTGCATCACTTTGGCCTTTAGATCCTCAAATTTTTTGATATAATCCAACACAGAACCAGTTTGTATTAATTTGTTGAATTGCTCGAACTCATCTTGCCCTCCTCTAGTTTTGAAACGACAAATGAGTGCATCGTTGAACTCTCTCCAATTCAGTCTTACCCTTCCCGGATTGAATCCTTCATACCAAACTTCTGTCTTTCCTTCCAAGTAGATTTCCACCGTTTCAACCATGAGGTCTTCCCTGATTCCATGAAATTGAAAATACTCTTGACATTTCCTGACCCAACCCCTTGGTTCATCGCCAGTGAATTCTATCAATTTAATCTTTGGCTGCATAGCAAAAGGTACCCTGTGACCACGATCTCTCTGGTTGTTCTGCTCCTCCAGATTCCTAGAGGAAGCGATCCTCTCTCTCACCGGCGGCTGGATGACCTCGTCTCCAGTAGTTTTAGATTCGCTTCCGGCGTTTTAAGAACTCCTTTATCTGGTGATTCAGAGGACTCTCCCACCACCATCTGATCCCTTTGTTCGCCGTCTGTCATGACCGGAAAGCTTCAGTCATTATTTTGACTTACTCTTTTAACTCCATTAGCTCATCGATTTTCTTCTCCATCGAATCTAATCGGAGATCGACTTTCTTGCTCTGTTCACCCGCGGCGGTGGCCCCCTGAGATCTGGTGACGGTGGTCATTTTTTATGAAATGGTCGGAGGATCTAGGCTCTAGAATACCAATTATAACGTTATGGGAATAAATTTATGAAATAGATTCAAATTTCAGAGGGCTTAAGGAAAGTAAAAAAGAATTTAAGAAGGAAAATAGAAGTATCAGAGAGGAAGAATTAGGGTTTAAGCCATAGTTTCATTCATTTCATTTCATAATTCTGTCTTAAGCGGCCATAGCCATAAATACAAAATTCGTACAAAGATTTCTTTCCGATAAGCTCTGTAACACATCAGCCAATACAGCGCATCATTGGATGCATCTTCCTGGAAGTTTCCAACATAGTAATTTAACTTCTAAAGCTGTAATAAGTTAATTAACTACTAGCAATAAAACTGTAACAATAAAACGCAACCAAGCTTTGCATTCTGTCCTTCTCGCTCAATTCAAAATTGACCTAATCCCCAGATGGAAAATCTGAAATACGTGAGAAAAACAAGGTAAGCAGGATGCTTTATTTGGGTCAGTACCCATTTGAAATTCTAGAACCAAAGGCCTTACCCTATTGGTGGGCCTAATTTTAACGACCCAAACTTGAACCACAAAGCTGAGGCCTCTCAAGCCGGGGTATTTAGGTAGTAGGGTTTTAGCGTCTTAGGGTTTAAGCTCACCTCTCGCGAAGAAAGAATCTGAAAAACAGAGGAACGGTTTACAGGGTTTTAGAGAGGAAGAAGAAGATGGGGGTTGACAAGGGGAAGAAGCAGAAAATTGCAGAAAAAGTTGAAGCTACTGAGCAAATTGATGAAAAGCTCGTTCTCTCCATTGAGAAGTTGCAGGAGATCCAGGATGAACTCGAAAAAGTATTTTTGTTTTCCTCGCCTACCTTTTCTTCTTTTTCCCCTTGTTGGTGCAGGAAGTGAATTCAGTTTGTTTTCTCCTTTTATTAATCAATCGAATTGCAAAAAGGGTTTTGTGTTTTCTTGTTCGTTTTTTTGATAATTAAGTTGTCTGTTGAATCCTGTTTTGGTAGTTTAATCCGGCTTTACTTTGGTTTTGTTTTGTTGCTTTTATGTTGTCTTTATGAATTTAAATTTTAGGAAAGAATTTGAATTTAGTTTGGTGCCAGAAGCATTCAAATTTTTCTCTTGTGGTGATTTTTTTGTTTAGGCTTTGCAGCTGTATAGTGCTTTGATATTATGACTTTTGAATTTGAACAAATTATAATCTTTTAGAGATTATGAACTATTGGTCCCGACCTTTGTAAATAGTAGATTTTTTTCCCCAGTTGCAAAATACCCCCAGTTTTGTTGTTGATGGGATTTCCTGTACTAGTCTGTGGTACCCTACTTGAACCATGTGCTCCTAAAAGAATGATCTTTGAAGTTAAATCTGGGTTTGGAGTCTGTGATATGATTTTTCGGAATATGAGATCAGGTCTCAATAATTTGTAACTAGATGTTTAGTGAGGTTCCTTGCTAGAAAGTTCAGCTTGGCAACGTGAAGTATCTTTTACTTGGGCTAGGGGACTTACCATCTACTCCCTCTCTCCTAAAATTACTGTGCCATTTGGACACTTAGTACAAATTGTACTAAGAATGAAAATCCAAAATGGACAATCATTTCGTGATGGAGGGAGTAGGTTTTTGATACTGCAACTTAAAACTGTTATTGGCCGGAAATGTCTTACATCTTCTTTTTCACCTTGCATACAGATTAATGAGGAGGCAAGCGATAAAGTGCTGGAAATAGAACAGAAGTATAATGAAGTTCGGAAACCCATTTATGATAAAAGGACTGACATTGTCAAATCTATTCCGGACTTCTGGTTAACAGCTGTAAGTCACTCAAATCTGATTTCCGATGTCTTTTCCGGAATTGAACGACCCTGGAGTTTTCTACTTTCTGCTGATTTATTTTCTTTACATGCAGTTTATGAGTCATCCTGCTTTAGGTGAACTATTGACTGAAGAAGACCAAAAGGTTTGACTTCTTTTCTTTTTCTTCGAGTATGTCATGCTACTCTTGTTGGATGTAAACATTTTCCTAAGGCAATATGCATTAAGAATTTGATCTTATATGTACATGTACTGATCTCGTTATTGATTTTCCCTGGATAGATTTTCAAGTATCTCAGTTCCATTGAAGTGGAAGATTCAAAAGATGTCAAATCTGGCTATTCTATTACCTTCGTGAGTCTTTTATCCCTGATGTCATACTGTTAAAGGATTATATCTGCAAGTTTTACTGTTTATGAAGAAATTATGAGTCCTTCGTGTTTCTTTCTGCAGAACTTTAATTCAAATCCTTATTTTGAGGATTCAAAGCTTGCGAAGACATTTACCTTCTTAGATGAAGGGACCACAAAAATCTCTTCCACACAAATTAAATGGAAGGAAGGAATGGTGAGATCCCGTTTTCTTGTGAATTTGGTGTGTAGTTTTTTTTATTTTTTATTTTTATTTTTTTTTTTGGTCTGAAGTAAATTTGCTCTTTTACTGGTGAAGGGTCTTCCAAATGGAAATGCAAATGAGAAGAAAGGCAACAAGAGGTCTCATGTTGAGGAAAGGTTAGCATCCTAGGTGTATAATTTTGTCTCTATGAATCTTATATTTCTTTAAGTGACAATTATCTTTATTGGGGCAAGCCAATTATGTGCTTGCAAAACCCAGAAGGTTGTCTTAAAATTGTCAGACATCGAGCACCTTTGTTGTGGCACCTGCTGCAATAGGTAGCATTCTCATATCTTATCGCCCTGGGTAGTGGAGTCTCTACCATTATCACTTGGGAATGGCCATGAGAGGGACATTTAACTCTTGTGGACTCATTATGAACTCTCTGTCTGGTTTGATTTTGTAATTTCAAAGCTCCTTTGTTTTCTGTCAAATACACTTACTCTTAATTATGTTTAATTGTTTCCTTTCTTGTAGTAGTCCTTCCAAATCCTGTTTGTAAGGTCTTTCCATTTTACTTTTAACTTAAAGTATAGTGCTCTACTTTTCGTCGTGCTGTATTGAGGTAGCTAAGGGCCTCTTTGCATCTACTATCAAGACACTACTATATGTTCTTCTGTTCACTTTCCTATCTATCCGGGCTGCGCTGAACTTCTTTTTCATGCATGCATGAGTTACCCTATTCGGTGTGTATCCATTTCATGATTTTTGTCCCTGCTAACCGTAATTTTGTTCATGTTGTGTGCCTAGCGTTGCTGCTCTTATGACTTTTTCTTTGTAGTCATGTAGGACAACTTGATCCACTAATATTTATTTGGCGATGTAATTGGTTCACGTGGAACTTAAATGAGTATACTAGAACAATGATTTAAGATGTATGAGTTACTTCAAGAAAGATATTCTGTGGTTTGCTTTTGACAAGTTTTCTGTAGAAAAAATATTTTTATACATAAATGTCATGGAATTAGACGATGATCACCGAATTTCTTGTTTTCTCCTCTAAAAGTTGCTTGGGAGTTGGGATTCTTAAAATTGAACTCTTGGATTTGTTTTCTGTTTATGTTCAGCATTTCTTAGTGTGGTCTAGTTCTCTTATTGGATTTGCATCTTTCCTATGACATAATCTGTTATATTTGGTCGTATTTCATGAAATAAGTCAGTCATGCACGGAGAATAAAGTTGGAATATACAGTTCCCGCCTAGTTTCTTTTTATCTTTTTGGTTATACTATGATTGTTGACTTCTTCAGTAGATTTAATTGTAAAAGTTTATCCTTTTAAGTTGCTGATTTTCTTCAACATCTGGATGCAGCTTCTTTACTTGGTTTGATGATAGCCAGCAAAAAGATGAGGATTTGGATGAAATTAACGATGAGGTTCTTGCACCTTTTGAATGTTTGTCTAATATAAATTTTATTTTTTCATTAGTCATTTCATCCATTTTCTTATTTTCAACCTCTTTTGATAGATTGCAGAGATAATTAAGGATGATTTGTGGCCGAATCCTCTTACTTACTTCAACACTGTAAGCCTGCTTGTTTGTTCTCTCTATGCTTCGATGAACTGATGCAGGAAAAAATAAGAATTAGGGTTTAAAAATTATTAGGAAATTTTAATTTAGGAAGGTTTTAGTATTTAACAGAATTTTAAGTCTTTTTAGATATTTTCCTTTTTTAAGTTTAGGGTTTAACTATAAATAGGGTTGCTGTACGTTTACAGAGAGGTAGTTTTTATTGATATTTGATAATTGATTTCAGAACTGCGAGTTCTCTTTCACGGCTGAGTGCCTGTGTTATGGTTTTTATTGGTTTTTGTCTAAAAACCATTGCCTTTGTTCATGGTGATCATGAATCAAAGTGGTGTTCCTTCTTTTCATGCTTCCGCCCGCATCATGAGCTTTCTCTTTCTATGCAAATCTGAACTGTCTATTTTGATATAGGATGCTGACGAAGAGGATTTTGAGGAAGGAGATGATGAGGTATGTAAATACTACCTTGATAGTCGCTACTACCTTTTCTTTATTAAGAAATGGAGTAAAGATACCAGCATACTAAATGAAATAATATCGGGATTTAGATATTCTTTTATGAACTTTTTCTGGCTCTTCATCGTTGACTTGGAGACTAGTTTCAGATACTTGCATATGTTTTTGTCTCTTGGCTTGCTTAGCAAAAAGTTACTTGTAACTTTCTTTACCAAAGGTTCATGTCTTCCTAGAAAAAGAATCAATCCAATAAATGGTAGCCTTTCTTTTGTTGGAAGTCTTCTGAAGCTGCTATAGGCAATCATATTCACGACGCTCTGTATTCTGTAATATACAACTTCCGTAAAGATGTAAACCAGTAATATGTAGATAAATTGTGCATTCAGCATTACCTAATAGGTGTTGATTCTCGGGACCTTTTCACAATGAGAATAGGTACCAGCTTATTGATTGAATGAAATAATAACGGGGTTTGGATATTCTTTTAATAACATTTCTGGTTCCTTCATCAGTGAAAACTATTACTGGTTCTATTTAGTACTTCAGGTGCTTCTGTTGCGTATTCTTGCTTATGTTTTTTCTCCCTTTTAACTTAGCAAAAAGCTAATTGTAACTTTTTTGAATAAAAAAGATCAGATTACCAAATGTTCATGTCACTCTAGGATATCCTTTCTTTAGTTGAAAGTCCTCTACAGCTATACTACTTTGGTGGTTGATGTTGCTGTGATTTTAAGAAATTTCTCCGCCATTGGCTCTACAGTATACAACTTTAATATAAGCTATAAACCTGTAATATGTTGAGTTACTTAATAGGTGGTGGTTCTTGGGACGTATTTGCAAGGCAAGTTTTCACCATGAGTATTGACTAGTAAGTTGTGTGATTGTCAAAAGGGACCCATTACCCATAAATTTTGTAAAATCTTTTGTTTAAAGGCAACTCTTGTGCATACCCTATAACCCTTCTCAATGGTGACCTTTTCCAGCACTACAAATATGGGTTCCGGATTAGTTTTTTGGTTACATTGGTAGCTATGCTTGAAATAAACCATTTTGGAAAAGATTAAAATATTTTCGCTTGTAGTCAAGCTTGTAATGCTTTTTTGATTGATCACCTCATGGTGATTTTGAACTGCCACATGATGATTTGGGAATTGCGCAAGGGCTTTGATGTCTACTTTTTGTATTGGAGTAAGACTGTGAAATAATCTTTTGTTTTCCATCCTTTCTGATGGCAGTTCAGTGATTGTACTCACGGTAAGTGGTAACAAAAGTTGTGTAAGATCGTTTCCTAGAATCCCATGAAATCTTTAAAGTTTTGGGAGTTTCCAGTAAGGCGTTTGCTTATTTCTGGTACTGATATTGTTTTACTGTGTGTCTGCAATTGGTAACTGTTAACAGCTGCATATCATTCAGTTAAAAATTGGGTATTCTTTATTGTCATTATAGGACTGAGGAAGTGATTTTAGTGAATCTGAAGCTGTGTCAATATTGATAGAGGTTGTATAAGGTGCTTGCATGTTGGGATTAGATGCCCACCCATTTTTCATCCCCCTTCCCCGTGTCTACTTGAATCCTGTTTTGGTAAAGATGGGATAAGATCTAAGATCCTACTTTGGGGCACAAATATTAATAGGGGATGATAGATTTCGACGTTGATTTGATGAATTTGGAGAAAACTTGTTGTAACTGTATGTGTTCTATGTGATCATCCTGACTAAACTCTATTAGGGCTGCATTCTTTGAAGAATTAAATACTATGCTTTTCGAAGTGTATGCCCCTGATGTTACGTGTTGAGTTCTTTTTGAGATATGTGATTTCTTATATAATGCGATGTTTCAGGAGAAAGGATCAGATACTGAAGACGATGATGATGGGCAAGACGACGATGATGATGAGGAAAATGGAGATGAAGAATAGAGATTAGGCTATTTACGATATTACTCCGAAGATTGTTATTTTGTGGTTGCAACATTTATGATTGTAGAGGAGGTGATATTATTACAAGAGTAGTACAGAGGATGCAGAATCTGACTTCTAATTATAGGTTTTCTGTAGTGGGTGTTTTTGGATTACTCTGTTTATCTTCTTTTTTTCATTTTTAAGTTCTTGTGCTTTTTCTTTTCTTTTTTTTTTTCCTCCAGAGTTTATTTCTATATGGCCCCTTCACTTTCATTCTACTTCAGACAAACTTTCAATCATCAATTTGATGATGTCATCATTATTAAACATGAGAGTTTTTTTTTTTTTTTTTTTTGGAATATAAGCATTGTGTACGTTAATTGTGCAAAAATGAGTCAATGATGGGGACAAGGAATATTATGATATTTGTACAAAGTTGTGAGTTGCGGACAATTAAATTTGGAAGCAGTGATACTATTCAGTAAAAGAAATCAAATTTAAAAGCAAACAACCCAAACCCAACGTGGAAAACAAATTTAGTTTAAAGTTTGTACCTTAAAGTGTCCCATTTCCGTAGCTTAATCTAATACATTAAACTTTAGTCTAGCATTTGTCTCGAAGCTAACTAATGTGATTGGTAATAGAGTATGCCGTCCTCGTCAGTGTAAAGAGCAAAATAAAACAACAGCCACACATAACTACAGTTGCAAGTTGCAGCATCAAATTTAATGGCCAATTCAGAAATCCCAACCATTGACCTTTCTCCTTTCTTCAACCTAGTTGATGATGATGAGAAGGGCAAGAAGAAAGTTAAAGATGCGATCAGCGAAGCTTGCTCTGAATATGGTTTTTTCCAGGTGGTGAATCATGGGGTGCCCCTGAATCTGCTCAACAAAGCAATGGAATTTTCGAAGACATATTTCAGGTTCCCAGATGAAGAGAAGCTCTTGTGCAGTCCTAAATCAGGTGCACCTCTTCCGGCGGGTTATAGCAAGCAGCCGGAGATCTCACCGGATAAGAACGAGTACATTCTGATGTTTCCTCCTCATTCCGGCAACAATTTGTTGCCTGGAAATCCACCCGGATTCAAGTACTTTCAACCCTTCTCTCCCTTATCTCATCAGTGCTAAGTTTAAATGTTCTGCTGATCTGCTCTATCTTTTTTTTGGTACTCCATATGTTCGGAATGATTGTGTTTTCACTTCTAATATAAATTGTATAAAAAATAATAATAGGAACTGGACAAAACAATCATTTTAGGACAAATATAATATATTATTTGTGTGGTCATTAAAATGTTGTCACATGTTACTTTTGGTCAAAATTTTTTGTTCAACACCATTCACCATTGGTCTTTCCATAGTAATAAGTTTTAACCACTGTATATGGACACCAAAATTTGCATAATCCATCTGTTTTTCTCATGGAGTCAAATTAGCACAGTTACATTACGCAGTACATCAGAAGTGACTCCTATAAAAAGTCTAATGGATGATTGTTTTACGAGTAAAAATTACGTTTATATATTAACAAAAAGTGACTGAGGAAAATAGATAGTGGTCACAATTCTAATCATTTACCTCAAATTTCTGTATAAAAATCAAGTTAGTTAATGTTATCTGATTGAGTAATCATGAGTAGGGAATCAATGGAAGAGCTATTCATTTATTTCTCCAAGGTTGGTGAACTTATAGAGAGCATCATAAATGAATGTCTTGGTCTTCCCAACAATTTTCTCAAAGAGTACAATGATGATCGGAGTTGGGATTTTATGGTGGCCTTGCATTATTTTCCAGCAACTGAGAAAGAAAATAATGGAATAACTGAGCATGAAGATGGAAATTGCATTACTTTTGTGGTTCAAGATGAAGCTGGTGGCCTTGAAGTTCGAAAGAATGGTCAATGGATTCCTGTCATTCCTGAACCTGGCAAAATAGTGGTGAACATAAGCGATGTGATTCAGGTATTTCCTCGAGTTCACTGTCCCAATTTGCTACTTACGCCGTCCTTAAATTTATTATCCATCATGCAGTTTCACGTTTACTACAATTTGAACTAAAACTTAAAATTCAAACTGGACAATAATTACGGAACGGAGGGAGGGAGTATAAAATTAACCAAATCGCTACTCCAACTGTAGTTATCATTCCAATCAAAGATGAATTGAGTTTTCAAGGTCCAACTTTGCGAATCAGGACTAAGGCAAATGTTCAAGTAAACGTACTCTAGTATAAATTGTTTCCTCTGTCCAAAAAAATAATTTGTATTCAGTAATTTTTTTTTTAATTTTTTCGTTAATCGAAATTACAGAATTTGTTCACTACCAAATGATAGACAGAATGGAGGTTTCCTCTGTATAGTTTCCAAAATCTCCAAGGACTTTGAAGGATAATTAATGTTGGTACAAAGTAGTGTATTGTTCTTATATTGGCATACATAACCTTGATTAATTCGTTTCAATTATTGCAGGTGCTGAGTAACAACAAATTTAAAAGTACTACTCACAGAGTGGTAAGGCCAAAAGGAAGAAGCAGGCATTCATTCGCATTTTTCTACAATTTAGTTGGTGACAAATGGGTGGAACCATTACCACAATTCACTACAGAGATTGCGGAGCCAGCAAAATACAGAGGATTTTTCTTCAAGGATTACCAGGCTTTGAGATTGAGGAACAAGACTCATCCTCCTTCTAACCCTGAAGATGTCATCCACATCACTCATTATGCAATTTCAACCCCATAAAATTATTTCTCTCCCGTCCCAGAAAAATAATCCGATTTGTTGAACTAAAGCAGTATATTAAACTGGAGGTATTTTATAGGTTGGAAGGAGTACTAAATTCATGTATGTGATCAATATTTGACCAGAGACTACTTTCATCATTAAAGTATATTGAGGGCAGAGTTGTAAATGGTGTAGCCTCCATCAACACATAGATTATGTCCACTCACACACTTAGCATCATCACTAGCTAAGTAAAGTGCTGCTTGAGCAACATCCTCAGCTTCCCAAATTACTCCTTTAAGATTGGCACTTGAATTCAAGGCATTTTGAAGAACATCTCCTCCCTCATCCCCAAAAAATCTCTTAGATAGAGGCGTCACGACGCCAGATGGCGACACACAGTTGACCCGAATGCCGTATTTCCCAAGCTCAACTGCCAAGTTTTTTGTTAGGCCTAAAACAGGATGCTGCGCCACCAAGGGATGAAGTTACGCTGCCAGTGGATACTATGCATCCGCTTCGCAATGGAATCATTACTCGAGCTGCATGCTTCATCCCGAGAAAAACTCCTACTAAATTCACCCCAATAACCCGCTCGAATTCTGTCTTTTCATTATTCACTATCTGAGGTTGTCTGAATGTCGTGTTGCGATAGTTCCCGTGTTGTTAAACATGATGTCCAGTTTTCCATAAGTCGCAACTGCTTTGTCAACAGCTCCTTCGATGTGATCCTCATTGGCTACATCACAATGAATGTAGAAGCTGTTTGATGAACCTAAACTCTTGCTTAATGTTTGTCCAAGGTTGTATTGGATGTCGGCAATCACAACTTTCGCGCCATGATTCCCGAATAATTTCGCCGAAGCTTCTCCAATTCCACTAGCTCCTCCAGTGATCAGAGCTACCTTTCCTGCTAACCTGCGAAACGTATAGGAATCACTAATCTCGCTCTTTATAAGACAAAATTAATTCAGCAAAATATTGACCAATTATGCTTTTCCATTTTTCTTTCCTAGCATCGCTCTACCATTAAGAGGAATCTCTCTAAACTTTATTATTATTATTTTTTAATCTGAGCAACAAAAATCAACCAAGAATAAACAAAAGAAAAATTATCAGGGATAATTCACCAAAAAACAGAAGAAAAATCATGAGAATGTTGTTCACTCAATATCTGTACTTACCATATGTAGATTATGGTAATCGGGGATGAACACATTACCTTCTGTAAGCTACTGAAAGTGACGAACTGGCTGCCATCGCTACTGAGATTTGAGAGAATCACTAAAAATGCCTTTGGTCCACCAAAGATAATAATTAAGTCCAAGGCATCTATGCAAGTATAATTGGGTTGTGGCTCAAAATTGATTCCTACAAAGTATGATAAAATGTCCCCATTGACTTGAGTGCGGTCCACCCCGCAGAATGAATCTCAGTCATTAGTTGGAAATGTAACGCAACATGTATTGTGCTATCATACCCTTTTGTTTTTTTTGTTTTTGTTTTTTTTTTTTGTGAACCGACAAACATGAAAATAACGTTAACATTTACACGTTTGAAATAACACAACACCCATACAATGAATTTTCTTGGTGGAGGGGGTATTATTCTACTAAAAAACATTGACAAAACATGCATAGCCAAACAAGCAAAACTAAATTTTCTACTAGCCAACAGTAATTACGTAAAATCTTAACTCGTCTAAAGACATTACTTTGAAATGTATCTCCTTTGTTTTCCTTTTTAACCTATGTTTTGAAAATTGGACCAAAAGGCAAAATGACAACTTAAGTAATTCACCGATTTATCGGTTTAACCGGTTTAAATCGGCTTTTAAAACTGGTAAAAATCGACTATAAAAATTATTAAAAAAAATTAATTTTCAAAATTTCAAAATTTCGTTTTAATCAGTACAGGTTCCTGGTCACGCCGCGATTTTGTCTGGATTTGATCGAGTTTGACCGGATTTTAAGTCTACCGGTTATTAATCCAAACCGGACCGAAAAGGCCTCTGATTCTCGGTCAAACCGGTTCGACTGCCTAGTCCGGTCCGATTTTCAGAACACAGTTCTTAACAAGTCTATGGAATCCAACAAAAAGTAATTTCCCTACTTCCTTCTCCTCAACTCCTCGAACAATATACCCCAAAAACTAATTCAAGATTATCAACGGTGCCAATCAAGATAGTCTCAAATAATTTGCTAAATCTTTCTGAGCATACATTTGTTCTTGTTTCTTAATTTCCACATACTGTGGCCTAAAGATTATAAATGAGAGTCTTATCGAAGAGGTTGAGGTGTATGTTAAAACCCCTTAGAACTTGAAAAAGGAGTGAAAGACATTTGTCCCATATTAAAATTGAGAAACCTACTTAATCAACATATATACCCCATGTGCTACTCTCTTCATTGCCAATTGGTTTTGAGGTTGAACCACATGTGGGTTTATATGGGGCTTCAAGAGTGCAAGAGGAGCTGTTGACGATATCTATGATCAGAACTTAGTTTCATACTAAATTTCAATTCGTTTATAAATCCTCACCCAGCGGGTAACAAAATTCTTGACATTGTTCACACTCCATATGATTTGTATAAACAAATTTCTCAGAAGCAAAATAGAGAATTTTTTGTTTCTCATCTTATAACGAATCTAAGATTTCGAATGTCTATAACTCCTACCACTATGAGCTGGCCATGGCTCTCTCGGGAGAATATTGTGATATTTAATTAAAAAGACTATCGAGACAATGGAAATCTCGAAGAGATGGTGAGACATACTATGGAATGTGCCTATTAAATTAAGATAGGCCTTCACAGCCCTCCAGAGTTTTGAAACGGCATGAAATTGGATACTTTCGTGGGGTCTTTCTAGCAAAGCAATCTTCTAGTTGAGTGATTGCATTCAATGGATTAGTCCTGTCCATTTCCAGTATGACATTGTCCTTAGATTCCCCAAGTATCTAGTTTAGATCCCCTAGATCATCATCTTCCTCAGCTGCAATGAAGTTGACTTGTTGCAGCTTACAAACAAGTCCAGGCCCTCATCTTTCTCCACATTTCCAACATAAGTTATTATTGTGGCTTGATTGGATCTCCTGAGGGGATATCCTCCTGAATGATTCATTACCTGATCTCTTATAACCTGAGTTACCCCCCTGGTTTCTATTAGGAGGTCCCTGGTGACTGATAGATTTTGAGAGACTGAGTACTCTGATTGCGGTTCTTAATGACCATTTCTTTTACTGCAAACTCTAAGGTCTTTTCTTGTACTTGAGCAATTTCAAAAACTCTCAACAAAGTAGGGGGTTCCAATAATTGAACCATTGGTTTAAGCTCCTCTCTTAAACCATTAATAAAGCTAGAAATGAAATAAGTCTCAGTCAAATGGGGATCATTACATAAAACCAAGGATTTCAATTCTTCAAACTTCTCATGGTAAGCCACTACAGTTCCTGTCTGTTGTGACTTATTAAATTCTTCTATTTCATTCATTCCTCCTTTTTCACCAAATCTCTTCATCAGTTCTTTTTCGAAATCAGACCAAGCAACTAACCCTATAACCCTTTTTAGACTTTGATACCATAAATCTGCTTTCCCCTCAAGATATAACTCAATAGCATCCATTTTAGTAACATCAGAGATACTATAAATACTAAAGTACTTGTCACATTTCCTCAACCATTTACGAGGATTTTCTCCATAGAAATTAGAAAGTTCCAACCTTGGTTGGTTAAGCCATGAATTCTTAGCATTTTTATCCCTCCAAGGACTGGGAGACTCATCTTCCAGGTTGACTTTAGAAACACCTGAAGGGCTGGGTAACAGAGGTGACTTCTTGTTATGCAGGGTTCTTTTGTTTTCATCTTTCTACAAAACCTGTAAAAGACTTGATAAATGATTGCATAGATTAGCAAATTGTTTTGCCTGTTGCTCGATTTTTTGTCAAAGTCACCTTGGGCTCCCATCTCAAAACCAATTGGCTGTGAGTGGGTTGACCTTTGGCACTTATAAACATGTGACAGATCCTTCACGACACCGATGTGGGATTCTTTGTCCCAACACCCTCCCTCAAGCCCAATGGGGTATTTGGCCTATTGGGGTTGCACAACACAACATAATTCACCAGATATACTACTGGGTCAATCAACAAGCCCGTACACACGGGTACATACTCCGGATATACTGCCGGGTCAGTCCACAAGCCTGCACACACGGGTCCATAGTTATTTAGGTCCATAGATCGTGGGCTCTGATACCATGTCAAAATATATAAGTATATAAGTATATAAGTATTTTGGGGTATATATGTTGAGTTCAAGAGTCTTCATTCATCCATGTGGGACAATGGAACATGAGGTCAATTCTTTCTTTCATTCATTTAACACGCCCCTCTCAAGCCCAATGGGCTTGGACGGGTAATCTTATATTTTTTTGATTTTTTTTTTTCAGTCTTGCGATCGGTTTTTTTCCGGATAAACCATCGCCTGCCGGGCCAGTCAAAGTTCAAAGTCAAACCCCAGATTTCTTCCGTGGGTTGACCAAAGTTTCAAGACCTAATCTGAGTCAGTCTACCTCGCCCCACATGTCCTACACGTCCGAGGATTAAAACCCGCTCTGATACCATCTTGAAGACCCCATATAAGCCCACATTTGGTTCCACCTCAAAATCAATTGGTTGGGAGTGAGTTGACTTTGGCACTTAAGATTAGATGTAGAAGGGAGAAGCTGGAAAAGAAGGAGTTTCCATTTCATAAATTTTTCGAATGAATCTCAGCATTTGATTCTAGTACATGATATAGCCAAATGATTCCTTCTAATATGATTAACTCAGGTGATAACTCAATAAAATAAAAAGTAGAAAGGACAAGATTAACGGTAACAGACAATTAAGGATTTAGTACAATTTATCATCTATAGTACTTAATTAAAGCAGCATACAAGTAACTTACGTGTCAGAATCACAATAAAAATTTTCTCGTCAAAAATCATTTTCAGTACAAAATTAGTTTTGACACGTGGCACTAACTATTCAAAAAAAAAGGATGTAATAAATAAATAAATAAATTCTTTAATTATAACTACATACTAATCTCTTAATTATATCTCTATTTTAATTCCTTAAAACATTAACATTGCGTTGATAAAATCAAATGTCAAAAAATCCCAATAAATACGTATGTTAGTTATCGCTGAATCGTACACAATAACTGTCCAGATTCATCACTAATCCACAATCCTAAAATCACTCAAATTATGTTCCAGAAATCGCTCAAATTTATTGATGTGATTATCTTTGCAAAGTAAACATCCCAAATCAAAACTGAAATTTTAAATTCGAATATCAGAAACAAAGAGGAACACTTCTATCTCCAGTATGGCCGGTTCAGAAGAACCCTAAGGTCTCGTAAGCTCTCTGCCTAGGAAAAAGAAAAAAGAAAAACCCTCCGCCGTTCAGCAATGACCTTCGTTAGGCCCTTAATTTGATTGTCAATTATTGGTTTAGTTTGTATTTGTTATTTATTTTATAAGAGAAGAACATGTAGAAAACAACCATTGTGATTCATTTGCTCTTAAAAGGCATAGTGAAGAAGGGGGTCAAGAAATTTAAGGTGGTGGCTGCAAAAGAACCAAGACTTATGAGAAGCTTTGCAAGTTGTCTTCTCTATTCCCGCGGTACTCTAGCTATGGAAAGCTATTTCCCCTTTTTTTTGTCTATTGTAAGCGGTTTTTCAGATGAGTAAATGATTAATTTGTGGGATTTTCAACCAGAAGTTAAGTGCATGTTGTCTTATCGAATCAACCAAGGTGATTATTTCTATATAGAATTTGTATAATACTTGCATTTACAAGTAGTAATGATTGAGGGGTTGCTAGTTTTAACTGGATTTCATTATTTCAACTCTTTCAAGGTCTTGAATTAAGAATTTGTTAGATTAATGATTTCTATTATATTGAAACAAATGGAACTGAAAACATTATCGTAATCCTTTCCAGAATGAATTCTTTAATGGACTTTTGTTTTTCCTATTGTATTTCCCTTTGTCGAATTGGATCTCAAATTTTTGTACCCGTTGAAGCCGTGAAGGTGAATTAGTTAAACTCCGTAGTACAAAGAAGTTAGATGTGATTTTTTTCTTTATAAATGATTTCTCAACATTTAATCGAATTTCTCCCCTTTAATGAACATACTCGAGATATTGCAGATATCTGCAAGAATTTCAAAACCCCCCAAAGCAACCACAAAATGATCTCTTTCGAGGTATATATGCTCATGATAGCATGTCCGATTTATCTCCATCATAACTCATAGAAATGTGAAGAGTTTTGGTCTTAAAATCAGATTTGAAATTGACATTAATAAGGTTTGTGAATGCGGAATATGATAATAGATAATTGTGATTTTTGGATGTTATTTGGTTATTGACATTTAATTCTGCTTCATTTTCTCATGAATTTTCCATTGTTCTTATTGATATGTTTTACAGTGCAACAGCCTAAAGCAACCACCATTCTAGATTGGAGAAAATGGGCATCAACAAAGCTTTTCCTGGATCATTTTGCTTCTTAGATAGGAGTTTAACCATCTAGAAAGTTCCAAATATGTACTTAGGCCAGTATCATGGTAATTTAAGGTAATATATATAATGGTTGTCAGGTAATTATACCTCTAATAACTGTGTAACTAAATAAGTACCTTACCTCTTACAGTTTTGTTTTGTTGTTATTTGGCCAAAACAAAATTTAAATTTTCACCTAAATGTCATACATTATTTACCAATCATTGAGAAAATAATTTGTAATAAGAAAAACAAATAATTCCACCACAAACTCTATTTTGCATTCATTGATGAGAAAATAATTTGTAATGAGAAAAAGACATAATGTCAATTCGAACTCTATTTTGCTATCACTAATAAAGTAATTTGCTCATTTGAGATATGAGATGGGATGCAAAATAGAGTTTAAAATTATTGATTTTTGAAAAAATAATTAAAAGACTTAAAACACAAGCGCTCTCGGGCATTGGCCCGAGCAAGCATCTAGTTTTGTATGAAGAAAGCTTCTAGGAAACTTTCGCTCTGCTTGGTTCCCAATTAAGCCATACGGCGACGTTCCAGCACCTAAATTTCAAAATTGAAATTATCCGAATCTTCAACCCGTCTGAATAACCCGACTTGCATGACATAAAAATTCAACACGTGAAGCCCCTGAAAAAAAAAGCAACCAGGCACCAGTAAAGAAAAAACTTTGTGGCCCAAAAAAACAAAAACCAAACACACTGCAGCCAACTTCAGTTTCATAAACAGCAAGTCAGCAACCAAGGTATAACCACTATGTGCTCGATTAATTTTTACATTAACCGCACAAATGATCACTACCACAATAAATGATGGGATGATGATGATGGGAGGGTGGTTGATGATCTGGGGAGGGGGGTATGATGGCCGGCCGAAGGAAGCAGAAGAAGAGGGGTGATTATTTTTTTTAAATTTTTTTATTATCCTTATTTTATATTACTTTCAAGCAGGTAAATGCCATTTTGAAGACTTATCTAAACATTTTGAATGTACAAAAATTACTCAAGAGTACTATTTAATTTGGTCCTAATGGTCATGCTCAACAATTTGTTGGCCGGCATCTACTTGCTCCTTTAAGTTGAACCATATAATTACAAAATCTTAAACTATGATAACAGTGCCCTATATAAATGTAGGCACTGTTTTTTTTATTTTGGATGTGTTTTCAGTAAAATAAGTTCGTCAAGAAAATCACTGAAAGAGGTTTATTTTGTCTTTTCTTTTTTGGATGAGCATGTTTTGTTGAAAAAAGTTCATAAATATAACTTCATTGAAGAGATTGATAATAAGTGAATGAATGGTGTTATATAGAACTCACACTATAATTATATAGAGAATGATTTATCAGGTCCGTAGTTATAGGTGTCTTGTCAAGTCAACTCATTAAAATGTGTTCTATATAGGTTTTTAAATCCTACTCCATTTGTCATGAGTGTTTAATTACATAAAATTTCAAAATTTCAGTCTCTGTTGGTCAATTTTAAACGTATATTATTACTATAAATTACATATTGTTCTGGGGGTTTATGAAATTTTCTACGTACCCAGTGATCCTTACAAGATCCATCATGTAATTTTTCTCTAAGTTAAAATGCTCATCCGTAACAAAGGCGTCATTGTGATCTTATGGGTTTAGGTCTTACTGAACATACGCGTCCAATCCGCTATAAACCTATTTCCAAAACATTATTGTGAGATCATAAACTATTCATGAAATGAGTACTAAAATAGCGACAACACCAAAAAACAAGCAGTAAAATAAAAAATTGCCTGCAAAGGAAAAGAAAAGGAAAGCTTAAAAAAGGTATAGACGTTGTACAAAACGTTTTTTTTCCTACGCGGCCCGGGGTATGAAACGGTCTGAATTTAGTTGCTATCAGTTAGACATTTTTTAAAAGTACTTTACTTCTGATTTCTTCCGGGAAAATTGACTCAATTTTGTATTTTGAAAACGTAATGTTTTTTTTTTTTAATGCAGATATATCACTTATATTTAAGAAAACTCCCAAACTTTTGTAGTCGAATTTCAAGAAGTAAACTTTAAGAGTCAAGTCTTACACTATTTACCTTAATATATATACTGATGTTTCATAGTGACGTTTCATACTTTAACTTCAAGATTTGTTTCGTTTTCCTTTTAAATATAGATATAAAGCCGATCGGATTTGAACTGTGGACTACGATGAAGTTGAGCTTTCACTTGTCAATTTCACTATTTCCGGAATACCATATTTCATAGCAACTGTTGTTTACTTTTGATTTATTTTAATCATATTTTGGGGAAAAACCCTGACCTGTAGTAGGGAAGCATGGCATTCGATGTCCTTATGCCTGGCATTAATGAATACACCAAGCAACGTAATTATCAGATGTCTTTCTCTGATCACAACATTTAGATTTTTTTTAATTTTCTTTTTATTAACGTATGATGTACCCAGTTTGACCATAGAGAAATTCTCTCAGATAAAAATCTATCAACAATTATTTGTCAAGGCACTAACTTGAATTCATGACCTCTTTAATTGAGTATATATAAGTTCCTCACCGTTCGCCCAAGCATGAATATAGATTACATTATCTTGACTCCTGAGTGCAATTGTTTGCTTCATATTTTCCACATCTTTCATAGAATCCTTCTTTTGAAAGGAATATTTTAAGTTCCAACTTTCTTTCAGTTCTCTTCTCCTCATCCATTAATAATCATTTTGTAACGTCTCAATCTTAATTTCTTTTTCTTTTTCTTTTTTTTCCTTTTCCTGCACCTTTGTTTCGAGGGACTATGTGATAATAATCTCCTTGACGAAGTACATATTGGGGTTTCCTTTGAATTTTACATAATTTCTGTTGCTTGTAAAAGAAAAAAAAATTGAAATAAAATATAAAAATGGAGAGGCGTGAATTGCTGTTAAATATGACTGAAATAAAAAGCCAGTTTTCTGGTCCTTTGGGTGAGATAAGGCAAGTTGAGGTATGCATGTATATTGCATTAGCCACAGTGTCCGGCCTTTGTGGTTTTGGTTCTTTAAGACGCAGTTCCAATAATGAATTATTGCGTTACTCAATAATGGGAGCTTTTCTCTTTTCTTTCAGCTTGATCACCTTCACCATTGGCCAAATGCTCTCTTCCCCTTATTATTATAACTTGTTTTACCCTTTTTGGGCAACATTTTTGGTTCTACTATATGGGAATCCTCACAGGATCTCTACATATAGTCTTGAGGACAATGATCAATGGAGAAAGTATCAATTCACATTCATTATCCTGATGTTCGGGGCTGCTTCAGTTATGGGTACACAAAGATATCTTTTTCCATTTGCTTCATTCATGGTGACATCGATCATTATGGTTTTTGTATCATCTGGAAAAGGAGCAGAAAGAGCGGAAGCTCTTGCTTTGGCGAGTAAGGCAGGATTCATTCGAGGAACCAAACTTATTGCAGATTTCATGTGCTACGAGCACGAATTAGGTCAACAACTTGTTGATCCAATACATTTAAGGGGTTACCACTATCTTGTGGCTTATGAGGATAAAGTTCCTTTTCTGGTGTATAAGTATCTAACTCGTAAGAAAAAGAGGCTAAACATCTCGCGCGATGAAGTTGTTACGATTGAGAAAGTTTGGAGCTGTGAAGGGATGCTTTTGAGCCCAACTGGTGGAGATCCAGATTCAAAGCTAAAGGATATATGCCTCTCTTATGCGTTGTATAACCTTTTATGCAGCCATTTTGCTGGTTTTTCTCAACCTCAACCGTCGCGTGATAAACAATGGGTGTTGGTCCGTGAAGGGTTCCTCCAAAATGTTGAAAACTGCGAAAGACCTTTTCGAGTGATTGAAACAGAACTCGGATTCCTCTATGATCGTTTATACACAAAATATGCGTTGATATTCAAAAAACCAATCCGAACTTTATGTAGGTCGGGATTTATCATTGCTGCATGTTTTGTGCTCCTCTGGTTCTTTTTGAAGCAATACCCTTCGTATGCCTCTAAATTTTCTGGAGCTGTGGAAAACGAAAATCACACAATAGAATCAAGGTTGGAGGAGTATAAGCTTGCCACTAAAATAGCCGTGGGAGTTGTCATTACCTTAGAGATTCTACATCTTGTCTTATTCGTTATCTCTGACTGGGGGAAATTGTTGATTCTGTGCAAATATGTTCAGAAACAATCTTGGAGAGATAATAGATTATTTGAGCAATTTATAAGAGTTTCATGCGACATTTCGGGCCAAAAAAATTGTTGGGGAAGGGAACTCGGACAGTACTCATTCTTAGATTCATTTCACCGATATCCTCCAATGTGGATCTATAATTGGTTCACCGCAAAATTTCTCTTCCTGGAGAATCCAGGGAGAGGTTGTGTTGGGAAGACATTTGTGAAATTGTCCACAGAAGTTCAAGGATCAGTTCTTTCTTTAACAAAGAGAAAGGGTCGGCGATTAACCAAAGGTATCCAATCCTTGCGAGAGAATGGAGTGAGAAACCATGAGTTGTTTTCAGCGTGCCAATACGATACAACTACGCAAGTGATCATGGTGTGGCACATTGCCACGAGCCTTTGTGAGATTCATCATGAAAGATCAGGAGATAACACCAACATCTCAATCACATTGTCCAAATACTGCGCCTACTTGGTTGTGTTCGCTCCACGATTGTTGCCCGATCATTCCTACGTCACAGAATGTATATTTAAGGAAACAGTAAAAGAAGCAGTGGAGGCTCTTAAAGGTTGTTATAAGTCTACAGAGAGTAAATACACCAAAATTATGGCAGTAGCCGATACAAAAATGCCAATGGAGAACAGGTCTATCCTAGAAGCTGGAGCCCGGGTTGCTAGGTTGTTGGCTGAAGAAACTGGAGATGATGTTGAGAAAATGTGGAAAATATTGGCCGACTTCTGGACAGGGTTGTTGTTGTTTGTTGCCCCTTCAGATGATATTTCAGCGCATGCTGAACATTTGGCTCAAGGAGGTGAGTTCGTGACACACTTGTGGGCTTTGCTTTTTCATATTGGTATTGTCAAGAGAGATCACATTGAAGTAGTGAACATGTGATGGCTTCTGTGCTTTCTGAGTTATAAATTGCTGATAGTGTATATTTCTCTTGTTAATTTTCTTTCGTGCTTTTCAACTACATGTTGCCAATATCCAGCATTAGTTCCATTTTAAAAATAAAAAATAAAAAATACTCTTTTTTTTTTTGTGGTAAGAAGCGTAAGAAGAAGACTTACACCAAGCCTAAGAAGATCAAGCACAAGCAAAAGAAGGTTAAGCTCGCCGTGCTCCAGATCTTTCTTTTTAACTAAAAATTGTACTCCCTCCGTCCCATAATTATTGTCCACTTTGCCCAAAAAATTTTGTCCCAAAATTATTGTCCAATTTGACTTTTTATGGATCAAGTTACACATTTGTCCTTAGTAAAAAATATTATCCATAAAATCTTAGTGGTTAAACAATTACTTATGTAGGGGTATATCCGGTTGTTTAAGGTAAAATATAGTTAAGTTTGACAAAAAATAAAATCTTTTATTTTAGTAAAACTGGACAATAATTATGGGACGGAGGGAGTACAATAAAATGAACTATTTTTTTCTCCAGCAAATTTTTCCTATCACTAAATTTCTCTTAACGGTTCATACGTGGATCGTTTAGGCTTAAGCTGAATTTCTCCTTTCGCCTGAAATTTGGCGACAATAATTCGCCGAAATTTAGATTTTGATCGTTTTGTTAATGTTTACATCTCCTCTTAATTTACTTTAGGAAAGTTGCTCAGTATGAAGGGTAACTCAAACGCAATGCCCTCTTTAGTTTGGTTTTTCCTTATTTATAAAATTGGAGGCATGTCGCCAGTACTATCCTGATTAACTAACAAAAAGAAAAGTTAAGGATATATAATTCATTTCCCTTAATGAAGCAAACTACGTCAAAGTTTACAAGCTCAACAGTTGTAGAGATGTCAATGGCTCGTTTCTTTTCTACCTCAAATATTGTCCGTGATTCTTTATCATCTGCTAGGCGACATGGACAAACTTCAATTGGGAAAGACAAACCTGCTTTTCCATAAATGATTTTTCCAGCCCTGATAAAAAAGAGTATTTTTAAGCAGGTGGGATTTGTCATGATGTAGGATTGCAAAAAGAAAAAATCATACTATTACATTCGTATAATACTATTTTACAATATGATCGGGAAAAGCGGCCATATAATAAGTTGCGACATTTTCATTAATTTGTTTTTACCATTTTCCTTTGAAATTCTTTCCTTTTCCGTACGATGTAAGCAGATAGTTTAATCACAAATCAACCCTTTGATAGATGACATGGGATGAAATTGTCCGATGGAGTGTTAATTTTTCCTACTGTCGTCATTGAAAAAATTTGCAATTGCAAATTATAATGTGAACTCCATACGTTCGTGCTACGAAAAGAGTATTTCATTACATCATTAATGGTACACACATGACTTTTTCTACTTGAGCAATTTTTATTTAAGGAGTCGATGCATTTCCGCGCTCGTCATTTTCTCGAATATAGCCCTGAAATTCAAGATTGTCAACTACCAATCCAGACACCAATCTAGACAGTCTCAAATTAATCAGCTATATTGCTGAACGTATTTTTCCTTCTCTTTTAATTCCTAAATATTCTGGTTTAAGGATTATAAGTGGATTCCAATCAAAGAGATTGATGTGGAAGAAGCTGTTGACTTTACTATGTTTCACATGATCTGAATACACTGATTTTCCAAAAAGATACTCCGTAGTAGCTTTCTTTCCCCTTCGTGCAACAAAACTTAATGTTTCACTTAGAATTCCTATTTGTTTTTAAGGAAGGTAAAGGTGTTGGGGTTTAATCCGGAAGAGAAAACCCGACATGCAGCTCAATAAGTAAGATAAGACTTATCTGGACTCAGAAACTTAAACTAATGGGTTGCCACATGACCCTCAACATTCTCTCCCGTCATGGACAATCTCCACATCGGGCCTCCGAATTATCTTAACAAGTTCAAATCTGTACTCCACCTGAGTAACTGGGCCGCTCATACATTTCCGCTCGTAGTGGGCCTTTGACTGTCTAGGTTTAGTCAGATCAATCAAGATAATTTGGGCTAAATCACCTACCTAACTGGCCCAACCTGGGCTCTGATATCACTGTTGGGGACTAATCCAGAGGGGAAAACCCAACATGCAGCCCAATATGTAAGATAAGAATGATATGACTGATAAAAAATGGGTTGATATGCACAGGAAGACTATTGGTAATATTCGACAGTGGATTGATCAAAGTGTGTTTCATCACTTTTCGGGAGAAACAAAAGTTGATGAACTTGGGGAGAAAATCTAGAATATGTACTGGAAGAAGTCCAATATTAATAAATCATCTGCGCTGAAACAGATTACCAGGTTGAGGTACAAAGATGGTGCTAGTATGAATGAGTACTTGAGTTCGTTCCAGGGTTTCTTGAACCAGGAAGTAAATGTAGATTTAAAGTTGGATGATGAGGTGCAAGTTTCGTTATTGTTTAGTTCTCTTCCAGACAGTTGGAACACTTTGGTAGTGTCAATCAGTAATTCAACCCATGATGGTGTCTTGACCTTTGATCAGGTCAAAGAGGGTTTGATGAATGAAGAAGTCAGGAGAAAAGGGCAGAATATTGATTTTGAGTCGCAGGCTCTAGGACAGAAAAGTCAGACAGAAGAGGGAGAAGTAAAATCAGAGGGTCACGTGATCGGAATGACAAGTCCAGGGGACGGTCTAAATCCAAGAAAGATATCGTGTGCTACTATTGTCAAGGGAATGGACACTTTAAGAAGGAGTGCAGGGTTCTCAAAAGAGAACTAGCAGTGAGAAAAGGTAAAGGCAAGAAAGATGAATCAAGTGATGATTACACTACTGCAGTATTAATTACCAGTGATGTATTTGTGTACTATGATGATGATACAATTAATGTTGCGAGTCGCGACAGTGATTGGTTCGGTGATTCATGTGTGTCTTATCATGTGACGCCTCACAGACACTTCTTCACCTCTTATACACCTAGAGATTTGGGTCGTGTAAGAATGGGCAACCAAGTCTCATGCGATGTTGTCCGCATGGAAGAGGTGCCATTGGTAACGAATATAGGTTGTAATCTTGCCTTGAAAAACGTCAGACATGTTCCGGATATGTGTCTGAACTTTATTTCCGTTGGCAAACTTGATGATGAGGGTTATCATAGCACTGAAGGTGTTCGCCGTTGGACAATTACCAGAGGGAATTTTGTTATTGGTAGAGGAAAGAAATTGAACTCTTTGTATGTGTTGAATGCAAAGTTGAGGAATGGAGAGGTGAATGCAACTCACAATGCCTACATTGATCTCTGGCACAGAAGACTTGGACACATAAGTGTCAAGGGGCTGCAGATTCTTGTTAAGAAGTAATTTCTCCCTGAGGTGAAAGGTACTGCTCTCGAACCTAGTGTTGACTGTATCTATGGTAAACAATATTGGGTTTCCTTTCAAAATTCTCTTCCATCTAGAAAGTCCAGTCCTATAGAGTTAGTTCATACAGATGTATGTTACATGAAAGATAGGTCGTTGGGTGGTGCATTGTACTTTGTTACTTTCATTGATGACTATGCTCAAAAGGTTTGGTGTATCTAAAGATCAGGTATTAGATGTGTTCAAAGAGTTTCACCTTAGAGTTGAAAGAGAGACTGACAAGAAGTTAAAGTGTGTTCGAGCAGATAATGGTGGTGAGTACAGGGGTCCGTTTGAGAAGTATTGCCGAGACCATGGCATTAAACTTCAGAAGAGTGTTCCGAAGACTCCACAGCAGAATGGTGTGGCAGAAAAAATGAATAGAACTATTACCGAAAAGGTTAGGTGTATGCTTACGAATGCAAAGCTGCCTAAATCTTTTTGAGGTGAAGCCATGCAGACAGCAGTTGATTTAATCAATCTATCTCCCTTAGTTCCGTTGGATGGCGATCTATCACGGCGAGTTTGGACAGGGAAAGATGTCTCATTTGGACATTTGCGAGTTTTTGATTGTCGTGCCTTTGTTCATATTCCCAATGACGAAAGGTCGAAACTTGATGGCAAATCCAAGCAGTGTGTATTCTTGGAATATGGCAATGATGATTTTGGGTACAAACTTAAATATCCTGTAGAGAAGAAAGTTTTTAGAAGCAGAGATGTGATCTTCTTTGAAGACCAGAACATTGATGATATGAGAAAGGGCGAGATACCAGAACCTTCACAAATAATTCCTGTTGATCTGATCCAGTTCCTCCACAATAAGATGATTCTCCAATAAGGGGGAGCTGAGACAGAGCAGAATGATGAGTTTGATGATGATTCTGCTACTGAGACAGAAACACCACTGGTTTCATCACCTCCTGTTCAGCCTAGGAGGTCCACCAGAGACAAGAGACCTTCCACCCGATACAGTGCTCATGAGTATTTGTTGCTTACTAATGGGGGAGAGCCAGAATCATATGAAGAGGTTCTTAGTCATGAGCAAAAAGATCAGTGATTAGCAGGCATGCAAGATGAGATCAAATCCTTGCATGAGAATAACACGTATCACCTGGTGAAGCTGCCTTAGGGCAAGAGATCAATCAAGAATAAATGGGTGTACAGACTGAAAACAAGTGAGAACAGCTCGCAACCGAGTTACAAAACCAGATTGGTTTTGAAGGGATTCAATCAGAGAAAGGGTGTAAACTTGGATGGGATATTCTCTCCTGTTGTAAAGATGTCTTCGATCCGAGTTGGGCTCGGGATAGCAGCTAGCTTGAATCTTGATATTGAACAGTTTGATGTGAAGACATTCTTCTTGCATTGTGATTTGGAAGAACAGATTTATATGGAGCTTTTGGGTCCAGATGGGTCTTTACTTACTTATTGAGCTGTATGTCGGGTGTTCTCCTCCGGATAAATCCCCAACAGTGGTATCAGAGCCCAGGTTGAGCCTGTTGGGTGGGTGATTTATTCCAAATTATCTCTGTTGATCTGACTGAATCCAAGCAGTCAAATGCTCACTACGAGCGGAAACGTAGCGATGGGCGGCCTATATAGTTACTCAGGCGGAGTACAGATTCGGGCTTGTTAAGATAATTTGGAAGGCCGATGTGGAGATTACCCATGACGGGGGAGAATGTTGAGGGCCATGTGGCAAGGGTTGTAAATTCCACATAAGGAGACATGATGACATGTGAATCAGTTAATAAGTAAGATTAACTCAGGACCCATTAGCTTGAGCTTTTGGGTCCAGATGGGTCTTTTCTTCCTTATTGGGCTACATGTCGGGTTTTCTCCTCCAGATAAATCCCCAATAAGGATTTCTTTTCTTTTCTTCTTGTTTTTTTTAATTCCATATGGGCTGTTTACTTGGTTTTATATTATGAAAACCCTGACAGTATCACTGCATATAGTAGTGAAGATAATGAACAATAGAGGAAGTTGAGCTTGACATATGTTAATTATTTGTTACACATGGAGTGTTAAATATGTTACACTTGGAGTGTTCAGTTTTATTATGATATTTGTTTCGGCAAGAAAGATTATAGATAGAACTGATGCTATTGCTTTTGAATGGTAGACAGATTAAAGGAAGAAAACCTATTGCAGACTTCATGAGCTACGAGTTTTCCAAATTAGATCAATTACCATGTATCTGATCCAGATTAAGATGTTGCCATAATCTCTTGATTGGTGGGAATGAAATGTTTTTTATTACTACAAGCTCTCCACAAGGTAATAAATGATTAAACATCGAGCAAGATAAAGTGATTACAGTTAAG